CCATCTTCTTGATAATTCATCGCCCTTTCTAGAGCCAGGGTCCTGAAAGCCACCTCTGCCCCCACCCAGGAGACTGGTGGCCACACCCACCAGGCCCTGGCTCCAGCTGTGACTGGCTCCTGGGCCAGCAGGAAGGCCATTCACAGATGAGATACCCCCCTGCCAAACCCTGGCCCCCTTTGCCAGCTCTGGAGCACCCTCACTGGCTGCAGGTACCATCTCCCTTGCCATCATGAGATAAGGTGGGGCCAGTACTCCTGGAACCCTCTGAGCCCCAGCAAATATGAGGTGCGGGTCAGCTAGCAGCTGCGGGAATACAAAGACAAGCAGGAAGAGTGCCAAACGCAGAGCCTGGCACATACTAGCAGCATGAATGAACAAATGGATCCCAAATGGGAGTGAGTCTTTATAGATTGTCTTACTGAGAAGACACTAAGCGAAGGAAATGAACATTTCTAGGTCCCATTTGTTACGTGTACGATATGCTTCCAAGTATTAGGCCACTGAACTTCAGAAACAGCAAGAAAGTGGAGATTACTGCCCTCATTTTATAGATAAGACGATTGAGGCTAATCGGGGTCACAGAACTGCTAAGTGGGAGAGTCCGGACCAGTGGTCTCAGCTCAGGGAGACGGTGGCACCCAGCATTTCAGAGTGTGTATCTGGGAGTCAACAGAGGTGGATTAAATGCCATCGCCTGCTAGCTGTGTGACCTGTGGCACATTTTTAAACTTCTCTGAGCCTCTGTTGAACTGCAAAATGGCAATAGTGTCAATTTCACAAGGTTATTGAGAGTGTTCCAAACGTACAAAAAGCATTTCATGTTGCATCTGGCCCCCAGCAAGTACTCCATAACACTGCCATTCATGTCACTGTTTACTTGGTAACTTTTGCCATGTTGAGCTGTGAGGGAGAGGGGACTCTCTCGCTCTCTCTCTCTCTCTCTCTCTCTGGTACCAGGGATTGAACTCAGGGGCACTCGACCACTGAGCCACATCCCCAGCCCTATTTTGTATTTTATTTAGAGGGTCTCACCGAGTTGCTGAGGGCTTTGCCTTTGCAGAGGCTGTCTTTGAACTCGCAATCGTCCTGTCTCAGCCTCCCCAGCCACTGGGATTACAGGCGTGTGTCACGGCGCCCAGTGGACTATGTCTTTTGAAAGCCTTTAGGACAGGAAGCAGCAGAGGCCTGGCTGAGGTTGAGTGGCAAACGTAGGCCCTGCTTCTTGGAGCAGGATGGCCTTTCGTTTCCTAAGTTTCTGAGGTGAACAGGAGGCAGCAGGCAAGCTGGGACAGGACACTTTGCGCCACCTTGCCAGGAAATACTTAAGAGATCCCTTCTCAAGAGGTCCGAGGTAAGAGAGAGTTAACACCTTAATGACCTCCCAGAACAGGACAGAACAAAGCAGCCCTTCCCAACTGTTCTTATGCCCAACACAAATAAGGACGGGACCTTCCATTTGTAATAGCAGCTCAGTGCCTGTGTTAGGGGAGGGGACGAGAACTGGATGGAACAGAGAGAAGAGGAAGAGGGCCTCATACACATATGTCCAGGGCCACAACATTTGAACAGTCCCCTCGCCCCTCCCCAGGGAATTCTGATAGGAGAATCATTGGTCTAAAAGATATGGGAAAGTCTATGAGTGAAAGTTGTATTTAAGGTCTTTTTAAAAAGTAGTGAAGGTAAGGCTACCATGTTTGATTATCCAGGTTGGGCACTGTACAAGGGCGTCATAATTAAGGGGACAACATTCATGCTGCAGATGCTACAGATTTCATATTTATTACAACCTTCTTCTGATGAATAGAAGTGTCTCGGGACAGAGGCTCTTTTTTCTTACTCACAAAGAGAACTGTGTGAGCAGGCTGCAGCCCTAGGACAAAGGAAGGGTTCATAGTTTATACATCAATTCACAAAACTCAAACCTTCCCAACCTGCCCACACTTTTGTATATCATGTTGGTGCAAATATAAATTAGAGATGAGTCAAAACACATACTAGCCACTGAACACCATGGCCTGTACCTGCTTTTCCTGTCTCTCAATTTCAAATTGTGAGGGACCTGGCTATCAGCTCTCCCTCAATGAATGATTATTGGAGGTTCAGAGAGACTGCGTCACATACTGGCTTAGTGTCCTTGGGCTGCTATAACAAATACCACAGACTGAACGGCTTAACCCACACAAGTTTCTCTCTCACTCTTCTGGAGGCTAGATGCCCAAGACGGAGGGGCCAGGTGATTCAGTTCTTGGTGGGTACATGCTTCATGGGCAGAGGGCTGTCTTCTCTCTGTGTCCTCACAGGAGAGAGAGAGAGAGAGAGAGCTCTCTGTTCTCTTCTGAGGGCACTAACCCCATCATGGGGACTCCTCCCCGCTCCCAGGCCCATGACCTTTTCTAAACCTAATTACCTCCCAAAGGCCAGGCCTCCTAGTACCAATGCATTGGGGACTAGGGTTTCCATGTGTGAATTCAGAGGGACTCAGTATTGAGTCCAAAAACCATACCCAAGGCCATCAGGAGCCAAGGCCTCTCCCTGGCACAACCCTCCAGACGTCACACTGGCTGCCAGCTGTTAGGCCCTACGGGGCGAAGAGGAAATGTTCCTTCCACTTCCCACCAAGGCCTCCCCACAAGGTCCCACTGGGCCGGCAGGGCCTGGAGTGCTTCGCGCACGTTTAGGCTGTTCCAGGAGCAGCTAAGGCAGCTGCAGTTCACCTCTTCAAACTGTCAGAAGGACTAAGGAGAAATGAAACAGCTTTTCCAACCAAAGTCTCAGCAAAGTGGTTTCAGCCATGACTCCAGAAGAAGGCTCTTGACAAAGTGCCCCATGAGCTCAGGAAACTTCAGCCCCCAGCTCTGTCCTTTTCCCAAAGGCCCATGAGAAAGTCGACTGTCCTTGAGTAAGAGCCAGGGTCACGTGTGTGCCTTCCCAGGGCATAGGCTGGCTTTTGTCTGGAAGGCCAAGAAGACTGCCACCAAGGGCCACTTTTTTTTTTTTTTAAATCCTAGTTTTACTGAAGGAAAATCTGAGACCAACGAAGAATGTAAGTACGTATGTGGAGCCAAGAACCAGAGACTTTGAGATGTGGACCAATTGCCAATCTCTGGCCTGCAGGTACCCACCCTGGAGCCTGCATCTGCGGCTCAAAGATCAATCACAGCAGAAGGACATTCATGGGTGATGGTTCCTCCGAGAAGGATGGTGGAGAGGGACAGGGCACCAGGAGGGCAGAGAGGAAGATGGAAGTCAGAAACCTGAGCACAGCGAGGAGGTGGCCAAAGAGATTGGAAGAAAAGCTGGGGCGGGCACCCAACCTCCCGAAACCAAGAGATGCAAACAATGAGATGCGACCCTGCCCTGCAAACACTGGCATGAGATGAGAAGCGAGAGCGGGTGTCAATGACAATGCCAAGAAAGGACTCCTGGCCATGGCTGGCAGGCAAGGTGCAACTGTGAAGCTCAAGATGCACAAACCCTGTCTGTGCAACCTGGGCAACCACCCTCAGGGCAATCTTGCCCCCGTGATCCAGGAAAGAAGCACAAGGATGTTCGTGGCAGCTCTATGGTCAGCAGCCAAAATATGGAGACAATCCCAATGTCCACCAGGGATGCAGGGTGACTGAGAGGTGCCCACACTGTGGGATGAAGACACGGTGGACATCTGCAGCATGTTACGGAGTGCGACTCTACTGTCATGAAGACCCAGGGAGGGCAAAACTAAGCCAAGGGCTCAGATATGCAGGTACAGAAAGCAGAACTTCAGAGCAAAGCAAAGAGAAATTAAAGAGTGTTAACCCCACCCCCAGGCGGTGGGGGGAGGAGACGACCACATCAAGGACAAGAAGGAGCCCGTGGAACGCGGCTATGTGTCTGAAGGAGACCTGGGTGGTTTCCACCCAGATGTTCACCGTATAACTCTTCCGTAAGCTGCTCCTGCACCAGACGGTACCTTCTGCTGTCTGCAGCGCTGCTGCCCCAGGAAAGACGCGGCTGCCTTCAGAAGCACATTTCTCCAGAACTCGGGTTAGCATCTCCCTGTCTCTTATCCTCTCCTACGTTTCCCTTTGTTCAAATCTGCCACCAGGCTCTATGGGCTCAACCAGAGCCAGTGCCGGAAGCCAGCCAGACTGTGGCGAGAAAGGCTGCAGGCCCTCCAGGGTGGGAGAGCAGAGCCCTTCACATCCCACCCGGCCAGGTGCCTCTGCGCCCAGCCACCGCACTGACGCCCTGGCAAGTGCAACCCCCCTCTGCCCGCAGCACTCCCAAGCAAGCATCGGCTCTTCCAGGTCCCCAGCCTACATGGGCCTTGTCCTGGCAGAGGAAGGAGGCAGGCAGATACTGCAGTAGCAGGAGAACAAAATCTGCTCCAGAAAAGAACAGGATGCCCTCCCCCTGTGATGATAACGGCACCAAAGTCAGCAGCTGCCCCTGGCTACCACGAGACGGTCCTCCTGCCAGGAGGCACGATTGAACCCCACTTTCCAGAAAGGAAAGAGGCTCAGAGAGACAAAGAGCCCAAGTCCACATACCGAGTAAGAGTGTCACAGGTTGGTGTCAGAATTCAAACCCAGACCAGTTTGTGCTTGAGGCACCCCAGCCCAAGCAGCATGCCCCCCCCCAATCTTTCCTTGTGCCATGGTCCCTGGCAGTCCCAGGAAGCCATGGTGCATGTTTGGAATTTACCCCAAACAGAGCACTCCACAGGCCAGCACCCAGGGAAGGGGACAGCCCAGGGCAGCCCTCTTGCCTCGGCCCACAGCACTCAGAGAGCAGCAAGTTCAATCTTTTCCTTTAGAGATGATACATGAAGGCCCAGAGAGGGGCAGGGGCCTCCAGCAGACACACAGCCTCCACAGCACAGCATGATGCCTTTCCTTTTAACATGGTCTTGTGCCAGGTCAGGTCCTCATCCTCCCTCCAAGGACTTCAGAGGTCCTGACCTGCCCTCCCATTTCTCCCTCCTTCCCGCCCAAAACTGTGGACACACTGCCTCTCACCTCTGTCCAGAGGCCAAAGCCCTGCCACCAGAGGAATCCGGGGTTCTTAGTCTCTTCAGAGCCAATACTGTCCCTAGGTCCTGGGAGGCCCCATGCCTGGCCTTCCCTGGCGCTGGCCCAGCCTCACAGCCCTGGGCCAGCTTCCTGTCTGGACAGGTGCTGGGTAGCCACGGTCTGCTGCTGGTGGTGGCTTCTGCTCTCCGCCAGGCTAGGCTCGCCTTGAATAAACACGGCTGCATAGCAACCAGGCTCTGAAGGAGCCACAGCTCCCTGCTGGGGGAGAGACGGAGCCCAGAGACTTCTCCTGGGCCTCATCTCCCCTGTGGCTCACCCAGGCTCTGCCTCCCTCAAGTGGCTGAAACCAGAGAGAGGGAGCTGGGCCCCACTGCGTGGCGGCCACTGCCAGGAAGTGCATGGCAGCCTGGGGGCAGGGGTGGTGGGCAGTGGAGACTCTGTTTTCCTCAGCTGGCCTCGGGGCCCCATCTGGTTCTGTCCACCTGCTGCTCCTAGAGGCAGAGGCCAGCCGTGGTCCGAAGCCAGGCCTCGTGCACTCACTGGGCAGTTCCAGTCCTGACTCTGGTGCTCCAGCTGTGTGCCCCTGGACGGTGCTTAACCTTCGAAGCCTGTTTCCTCATCTGGAAAATGGGTATAATAAGGTACTGACTCAACAGAAGCCTGAAACAGGCCTGTGGTTCATCTAGCTCACAGGGGGCCCTCCACTACTTCCCCAGAGGTACTTGCATAGCAGAAAACCTACGGCCTCCTCCCCAACCATATTTTTCATCCCTGCTCTGGGAAAATGTGGAACCCAACAACCCCATGTGCTTCCTCATTCAGCCCTAGCCCTGATGCAGAAAGCCCAGGCCGGCTTGGATCCCCTCAGATGAGAACTGTTCCTTACAGAGGAATCAGCAGCCAGGCAGGATGCGGAGTAGGGAAGGTGGGGTGTAGCTGGTCACACCTCCAGGAGGCCTGGCCACTAGATAATTTCCTGGACTCTCTCCTCTTGCCCTGGAAAAAGCGGCTTAATTTGGCAGCTCCAAAAGGGCCAGAGATACAGACAATAAAGATGGAGAATAAGATTCGCCTGCAGAGGGCGCTGGCCAGCCAGAAGGCAGAGGGGCTGCTCGAGCGGAGCAGACTGGCAGGTGATCTGGACTCCAGGGCTCCCTCCAGCAGAGCCCAGGAAGGAGGTGCCTCCTCCAAAGCTGAACCAATGGCCACGTGTCTGTGTTAAGCATTGAATAACCCTGGGACACAGGTCTGAAGGAGCCTAAGGTTACAGATGGGGAGACTGAGGCTCAGCCAGTTGCACAGCTCATGAGAACCAGTCACCAGTGAGAGCCAGAAAGGATGGGCACTGCCAGGGAGAGGAGGTGTGAACTCTTCCCCCAGAATCAGAGCTGCTAAACCGTAGATCTGAAGGTCACGCCCCCCACTGGTTCCCTCCTGTCTCCCTGACCTTGGCACTGAGACCAAGGAGCCTCTCAACCTGGCCCAGCTTGGCCCTCTTTCCCCACCACCCCTCTGCCCACCTCACTCATTCACAGCACTCTGCCTCTGGGGACCATCAAGCGCCAGGTTTTCCTGATGGCCACCTGGGCCACAAAGGAGAGCACAACTGCCCTCCAAGCCAAGCTACAGAGACAGGCCCCAAGAGGTAACCATCGGCTCATGCCTGAATTAGCTGTAATAACAGGTAGGATTTGCAAAGCTCTTAAGAACTGGAGCTCTCAAGATGGACTCAATGTTGCAGCACCAGCAATCCCAGCTACTCAGAAGGCTGAGGCAGGAGGATCTCAAGTTCAAGACCAGCCTCTGAAGTTTAGCAAGACTTTCAGCAACTCATTGACACTCTGTTCTGTCAAAATAAATTTTTAAAAGGGTTGGGGATGTAGTTCAGTGGTAGAGTGCTTGCCCAGCATGCACAAGACCCTGGGTTCAACACCCAGCCCCACACCCCCTACACACACACACAGAATTGATTCTCACCCTAACAATCCTGTGGCCTGAGTCAAGAAATGGGCTTCTGTGCCCAGCAGGGAGGCCATGGAGCTTCCCTTCCCCAGGAGGTGGGTATGAATGACTCTCAGGAATCACTGGGGGTACCCCCGCCACACAGCAAGCACTCACCAATATTCACATGCCCACCAGGACTGTGCATGTGACATGAGACAAGCCTGAAGAACAGACAAGCCCAGGAGATGGACACCATGAATGCAGGCACTGAGAAAGACTTGGGGTACTTGAAGTGGCAAGGATGGGAGGGACCCCAGGTGACAGGGAACTTCCTGGATGCTTTTTGGTGACTCACTCTAGAAGATGTCACAGAAAGGGACTTGGACACCTAGACCCCTGTGATTTATCACCTGAAGGAAATATTTTCATATCTATCTTCTTCCTTCCTTCCTTCCTTCCTTCCTTTCTTCCTTTTTTCCTTCCTTCCTCCGTCTCTTTCTTTCTTTCTTCCTGGGATGCCGGGGATTGAATCCAGGGGCGTTCTATCACTGAGTTACATCCCCAGGCTTTTTTACTATTATTTTTTTTATTTTGAAACAGAGTCTCTCTAAGTGGCCAAGGCTAGCCTCGAACTTGCAATCCTCCTGCCTCAGCCTCCCAAATAAAGAGAGATGCTTCAAGCTTCACAAAGCCTGGAGGGAACCCTAGTGGGAGGTAGGCAGAACTGGGAAGAGACTCAGGAGGCCTGAAAGGAGCTCTGAAGGAATTTGGGGCAAAAGCTTGCAGGGAGAGAGGGCCGCAGATTGAGAAAGGAGAGACCAAGACACAAGGGCCTGCTTGGCCATCTGGAAGCACACAGTTCCCAGGACCCGAACATGCGGCTGGCCCTTGGGCTCCGAGTGTGTATTTGGCTCCACCTGTATTCATTGCGCGCGCGCGCGCACACACACACACACACACACACACACACATTGCCTGTCTGCCTGGAGAACTCATACCCATCTTTCAAGACAGCTTGTTATGATTGGATCGTGTGCCCCCAAATTGATGAGCTGAAGTCCTCGCCTCCAGAGCCACCAGATGTGAACTTATCTGGAAATAGGGTCATTGCAGATGTCATCAGTTAAGAGGAGGTCATATTGCAGTGAGGTGGGCACCAAAGTCAGTAAGACAGTGTCCTTCATAAAGCAGGGGTTTGGACACAGACACACGGGAAGAACACCGTGGGAGAACAGAGTCGAATTGCCTCAACCCAACCTACCAAAGGCAGGAGAGAAGCCCAGAGCATCCCTCCCTGGTGCTTTCAGAGGGAGTGGACCCTGCCCACACCTCGACCTCAGCCTCTGGCTCCAGGACTGTGGGGCAATATGTTCTGTGGTTCTCAACTGCCCAATTTCTAGTTCATGGTCATGGCAGCCCAGAAAACCAAGCATCATCTCCTGGGCATAGCAGCGTGACCTGCCCCCGTGATGCCGAGCACTCCCAGAAAGGGAGCATGTGCTGGAGAACTCCCGCCATCCTGGTCCACCTGCTCTGTGCCCCAAGGCTGAGCTCCGTGAGCTATATCAACAGGCCCTCCTGCCTTCCGCCTTCCCTTGGGTTTGGCCAGGGGACGGAGGGGAGAGGGAGCCAGGCTTCTATTCCCCAGTTTCCTTCCAGCAGGGCCCTGGGGGCCAGCTGCACCCCTTACCTGGAGGTCAGGGCTCCTGCACAGCTTTCCCTGGGTTGGTGAAGATCCCAGTGTGGCCAATGCCAGGGCTGCGTGACCCCCATGGTTTCTCGGCATCTCCTCCCAATCCCAGCATGCACAGGTGGACAACTGCCCCCTCCCAGCCACACATACCTAGACTGGGGTGAGCTCCAGTCTCTATCTCTAAAAGCCAAGCACAGTCAGACCACAGTAGACACTCAGCACAAGTGTGAGTGACACACATCTGACTGTGGGGGTGGGGGTACTAGCCCAAGAGCTTCTTTTCCCTGCAACACCCACTGCTTTTCCCAGGACCAGGCCTTGTCTCCAACCTACAGAGTCTGGGCACCATGTATGGCGGGTAGAGCAAGTTCTAACCCCCTTGGCTGGTGCTACCATATTATCAATCAGGACCAGCCTGTCAGAGCTGGAGGTCAGATTACATGGAGCATGTGAGGACCCCAGAGAAGTGGCACACTCAGGCTGTGCCTCCCCTTACCCCTGCTTCAGAACCCCTCAGGATCAATTGAGCCCAGACTAAGGATGATTATCATATGGCAGGGCCAAGGGGACAAGAGACTGTCACCAGCTTTACTATGTGGCCTCCAGCCCCTGCCTACCCTAGGCTTCCAAAGTGTCATCTGTGAAATGATGGGATCAGACACTGAATGGCCTCCAGGTCCCTGAGGCCCGAGGCCCTGTATTCTGGGGATCGAGGCTGGAAACTTCACTTCCACCTGCCAGACACCCTGCGGAGAAACGGACAGCCAAGGCCAGCAGCACTGTCCACAGACTGCCCCTGTGACCCACTGTCCTCCACACTTGGCTTGTGCTTTATCATGCACCCCACCTCCTCGGAGCCCAGCCTGTGAGAACAGGAGGCCCTGACTGCACCCTAAGCAGGGCGGGGCTATGCAGATGCTGCCAAGGGCACAGGAGAGGCCCCTCCAAACTGGCTTCCCCTTCTGTGTTGACTTGTTCTCTGGGAATTTTCTGGAAATTCCAAAATAATATATGCAACCTAAGCCACAGGTCAGAGAGGACCCAGCTGAACCCTCCTATCACAGAGGAGGGGAAGATGAAGCCCAGAGGGCTGTGCAGGAAATCAGGCCACGGACTGAAGCCTTCTCATTCTGTTGTTCCTGGCCCCAGCTCCCCTTTAGGGTCTTCTTCCAAGAGAAGCTTTTCCTTCACTCCACATGGACCTGACCCTTCTGCTTTCTCCCCCTTTCTCCAAAAAAGTGTCAGAGAAGAGCTGCTGCCGCACAGCCACAGGAGAAGTTACCTGTTCCTCCAATGGCCAACAGATGATTGGAGGTAGGCAGACGGGATGGGGTAGTACGGGATGGGGTAGACAAATGGCAAAGGATAAGACAAAGTATAAGATAGGATGGGATGGGACAGATGGAAGGGAGGAAGGATAGTAAAGGGGGAGGGAAGAAAACTCACATATAATGAATGGATAAATAAAGAATGAATGTGAAGAGAGATAAAGAACAGGGGGAAGAAGAAATTAACAAGTGAATGAATAATTCTGGAAGCTGATGGAGAAAAATAATTGGAAACATA